CTGTAGCACTGGGACCTCTGAGAGCAGGACGAGAACCTGCTGCCCAGGGAGCCCCCATAGGCAAGAGAGCCTCTGTAGCCAAAAGACGCCCCGTAGCCCAACGTGCTCCCAATGGCAGCCGGTGCTGAGGATCCCACCACGCTCTGCTGCGGGCAGGAGCTGAGGATGGGCCCGGGGAAGGTGATGACGACGGGCGGCGGGTAGACCACGGCGCGGGAGTCCCCGCAGGAGGTGACACAGGGCTCGTTCCAGGCGTCAGCGAGGGGCTGGGGACAGGCCACGTGGCAGGGCGCCGTGCTGGGGTAGCTGCACAGGTCTCGGTAGCAGGACATGGTTCTGCAGTGGGCACCGCTCTGCAACGCAGCGAGACGGGTGAGCAACACACGGAGAGTGGGCAGCAGAGCGAGAGCATCGCGACCCCGGGCAGGACACGGCAGAAACCCAAAACCACCCACAGCCCCAGGCTCAAAACTGAACTGCAGCTGCTGCTAAAGCAAAGCTCTGGCTCTGCACATTTCTGTGTCCGTTTTAGCAACTAAAAGCATCAAAATCCTTGAGATACTTCAGGAATTTGAGTCATGCCAACCTCCGGGTCTCTGCAGGAGCCTCTGTTGGAGAAGCTGGTGCTGTCACTGCACCAGCAGGCATGACAGACTGGGTTAGGTTTACCACTAGGAAAGCATACCAAAAGGCAAAAAGAATTAAAAACTTACCCAAACCACCGGTAGGAAGAGGTCAGGAGACGCTGATGGAGGTGTTGTGAAGAGTGGGTGCTTTTATACTGCTCTTGGATAGCTTGGGGAATCTGAGGTTTGGTTAGCTTCAAACAGAAGCGATTACACGTCACTCCTCACCAGCATATAATCATTTTGCTCATTGTTTGCCATTATTAGGCAATTCCCAGTTTCCCCCACACCTTACTGCATCATCCCTCCGACGGCAGCAGCTTCTCCATGGATGAAATCTGTGCAGGCCACTATGAGGCAGAGAATGAGCATTTAGTTCTTGCACAGCTCATGCAAAGAGCTCATGACCCCATCGGTCATACTGCTTACAGACCTGCAGATAAAGAATTGCAGAGACAAATCCTTAGACAACCATTGTGCCATTGGAGAACCCCAAAATAGATCCTTAATACAGCTCAGAGTTGGGGAAGGAGTCAAAGGAAAGAGTAATCACAGAAAAGGATCTTGCTTCACTCCCACCTGAAGCCGATGAAGGCAGTGGGTTGATAACAGGAAGGATTTGGTCACTGAAGTTTTCAAAGGAAATGATCTATGGGGTGTAACACTGTGTAATGATGAGGCAGGGAGGGCTGTAATAATCAGGATAAGTTAGAATTTTCTTTTGCATCATCTAGATAAGCTGCATGTGCAATAAGTATGTAACACAGCAGGTCTTTACAAGCAGTGGTGGTTCATGTCCACGGGGATGATGAGAAACTGGATGTTAGTGTCCCCTTCACATCCCAACCCTCAGCCTGGCTGAGCTGTGGCTTGTGCTCCAAAACAGCCTCTTTGCACATAGTCTATAGGATGCAGAAATCTTAATCTACATGATCAATCTAAAAAAACGAATCCAACTGATAGCTTAACTCAGTTCTCCCCTGCCCACACACAGAGAAAGTCACTTATTTGTTCAACACAAGAGGCTAAACCAGGAGAAATGGAGAGAAAGGGGCTGAAGACTCTCAGAGGAGCTTTTACATGGAGGCTGCCTGGGGAAGTGGAGCTGCTGTTTTCTCACTGTCCCCTAATTGCTAAATAATAATTTTGATTGTGTCGTCAGTCAAGGTAATCGTTTTGTAGATCGCTTCTCCTAATGGAGCAGCTCCACCTTGAATTGCAGGACGTGGCACTGTGGCTGCAGGTGTTTCACACGTCCAGGCCCAGGGGATTAGCATCTCTGCTATAATCCCTTGACTCCATTGGAAGCTGATTTACTTTGATATGAAGCTTCAGATAACCTTTGAAATTACTTTACTGTCTTAGAGCCTCATCAAAAAGGCAAGTATTTTCCGTGGAAAGGTTGGTTCAGCCTTGGTTTCCTGCACGTGTGGTTTCCTTCTAGGCAGTGTGACAGAGATTTTTCTTCCTATCATATCTTGGGGCTGTTGATTTAAGGCAGGACAACTGCCTATTTTCATTTTTATAGTTCTCCGCACAATGGTTCTTGACTCTGAGCCGTGGTGCGGGAGATGAAAGGCCGAGGATTTGGTGTGTCCGTGCTCCTCCCGGCCAAGGCAACAAGAACCCAGTCACCGTCTCTAATTACCCCTCTGGGAAACCGTCAATCAAAAAAATTACCCAATTCACTGGGGTGTTGTGTCAATAGGTGGCTTTGTGGAAAGCAGTGAAAAGGCAGATATTTTTCATTCTCCCAAGGTACAGTAAGAAAACACTGAGAAGGTCCAGAAAATAGGTGGAAATGTTTAAAAGGGCCAGTTAAAATACAGAGATTCCTATGAAGACCCAAAGAAGAAGCTGGACCTGGAGAGTCAGCAGAAAATCCCAGATTAGCATTTCCCTGCTCCTAATCTTATTAAGCAGCAATAAAGCAGTAAATACCAGCAATGCCCAGACTCTTTACTTGACACCCTAAAGGGACAGAAACTGCACAGAGCCAGGACAGAAGACGCTGTATTTCCCGAAGGGATTGACATGAAGGGGCAAAGCGATGTGAGTGCTGGCTGGGGATGACATTCCTGGGGGTGTTGAGCATGAGTGCTGGTTTGGTGACAGCTACCGGGTGATGCTGGATGTGGGGAACAGGCGCTGGGCACTTTTAGGTCAGAGCGACCCGGGCACACAGGGCACACAGTGCTCAGGACCCTGCAGTGCCGTCCTACCCTCCTACCACGCAGAATGGAGAAGTTTGATCCAATATCAAATGCTCCCATGGAGAGCCTGGAGCGATGCGCTGCATTAACACCCTGTGGGAGCTGTTTTGTCCAGACACCTTTCAATTAGGCGAGATGGGAGCCGCCGCTGGGAAGAGCCAGGCTGTCATTACCAGGAGCACTTCCCTCTTGGAAAGAGCTCCCTTCCTCTTCCTCATGCCATTCCCAGGGACCTTCACAGCCTCACAGACTTTGGGAACGTGTGCGGTCAGATAGAGGAGATAGCACTCCAAAAAGGGGTTAAAAAGTTTTGCTGTTTGGCACAGCTATTGCTTCAGAGCCTGCACGTTGTTTTTATAGACTGACATAAAAGCATTACAGGGAGGGAACAGCTATTTGCATCTCGGGTCAATCTGCCTCTGATCCATTACCTTTGCAAGAAGAATACGTTTTGGTGCATGATCGTATCTTACCAACTCAAGATGTGGAAGCTGAAGTGTCTTGCTGTGATGATTTTCAGGGCTGATTCATGTGTAAGGATTAAATCTTGATGAGGGATACGGCATTGCCCAGTCCTTGCCCAAATGCGTGGGGGAAACATTCCTACCTGCTTTAAAATGCCGCTTGCTCATAATGCCTTAATTGTTGCTACTTGTCAATCTTTTTAATAGTTCCACAGTCCTGGCCTTAATACTGCAATTTATCACAGCTCTTGTAAGGAAAAACTGTGGGCCCGGAGAACCAATGCATTGCTTGAGGTCAAGTAACACCCAAATCCATGGTGCCATGCCAAAGTCCTCAGATTTGGCAGCGGGTTTTGCACATTTGCTGCTTGGTTGGTGAATACCTCACCTGTAAATAAGGAACCAAATTCTCCCAACCACCTTCTTGCCCCACCTGGTTGTCTTCCAGGTGCTGCCATGCAGAATTGCCTGCTAGTTTGTTTTTATCTCGACGGTCCAAAACTAAAACCCAGTTGCGGTGTGTAGGAAACGCTGGGATTTATGCTAAATGTGTAAAGAGACAGCAGCAACCAGCTGCACTCCCAGCCCCTGCACTGTAGCAGCTTTAAGACAACAATTACCTTTTCCATGAAAAGTGATCCCCAGCGTTCAATAAAAAACCAGTGAGTGAAGGCAAAGCAAAGCAGCAGGGAGTGATGGGCAGGATGGCCGGGCAAGGGAGCCCTTTCCCCAGTGAGAAGGAGCCCGGGAGGCTCTTGGTGCCCGGCCAGGCTGTGATGCCAGCGGTGCTGCCGCGTCCCGTGTCACAGGAGGGCAGCAGCTGCTGAGGAGCATCAGCCCCAGCAACCCGCATGGGCAGGAGAGCCCAACCTGCCCGCAGAGCATCCCCATGGCAAGAGCCAAGGCTCCGCATCCCCTGGAGCAACCCGCTCCTTCCCCATCACCTGTGTCCAGCTATGGGAAGAAGAGAGTGTCCGGCTGTTGCTGAGGGTCTTGGAAATGTCCCTGCACATTTACTAGGGCTGGTTCCTCGCTTGGGTTTCCTATTTCTCTTTGGAGAGGGTTAAGTTATTAATAAAACAACTCATTTTAAGTGTGGTCATATGGGGGATGGGGTTGTACTCCCAGAACTAAGGAGTCCAAAAGCCTTTCCTGAGACCCTGCTGGGCCAACAGCAAGAGCCAGGAGTCTTGGTCATTCACCTAAAAGGAATCAGCAAAAAGCAAAAAGCAACTTACTGAAAATAATCAGTTTACTAGAAATATGTATACATATCCTTAATAGATATGGAGGTCAATGTGCGTGAAATCATGACCTCTGTTTGCAAATCCGAGTTATTACAGATTCTTGGGGAATGTAACCCCAGTAATAGACTGTTAGCCTTATATTAGCGTGCTGCTTCGCCCGTGTAATTCCTCGGCAGGTGTCTGCAAAGCACCCCGCAGCCCTTTGCTCTGCGGAAGCCTTGGGATGTTTCTGGGTGGGTATAATTGCCCAAATGACATGATATTACCTGGGCACAAAAAGACCATGACTCAAGTAAACACACACACGTACGCAGGCATTAGAGACGGAGAGGATGAACAGCATCTTTAGTATAAAAACAGTGTCTGAAATTGCTTGGGGTGAGCAGGATGGACTTCGTGCCTTAAATGTCCCCTGCCTTGATGGACCATCAGTGGGGTATTCCGGAGTCCTTGGGCTTCAAACAACCAGAACTCTCAGCAGTAATGAACTCCCAGACCCCCACACTTTCATGTGAAAAAAGCATTCTTTGCAAAAGCCAGCCAGGAAAGATTTAATGCAGGAATATGAAGAGTATCTTGAATACAGGTCATTTTTGTTTATAGAAGAGTAAGGCCTCCAAACAGGACTGAATATGGTGCTCACTGCTCCAGCAGAAAGACTATTTCCATGCCTGAGATCAGGAGACTCAAAAAAATACTCATTTTGCTATAAGCTACCTAGAAATTTCTCCTGCCTAGCATTTCTCTGAATAGGGGTTCCACTCACTGCTTCCAGGACAGCAGCAGCAGCCTGGATTAGGCAACAGCAGCACATCTTGGCCTGCACAGGAGCATCAAACCCTCCGTTTTCCCCGGCTGTTGAGTTTCGAGCAGTCTGAGGAGAGTCTCCAGGGCAGCTTCTCTCTGTCTCTCCCCAAGGCTGAGTGTTGCTGAAAGAGCATTGGAAATAAGTAGCAGAGGAAAAAGGAGATCAGAAGGCCAATGGTTTGATGCAGCAGCCTTTTAATGTAAATGCAAAGTGGAGTAAACATTTGCAGAGCGACTAATGCAAACTAGAGAGAGTGTATTTCTAGAGACAAGAAAGCTAAAACTAGTTCCCCCTTCCAGCATGACGCATTTCACAGAGATATGCACTTTCCTCACACTTGCTGAGTCTGACATTCAAATTCCATTTCCAGTCCCTATGCCTGATTCCTCCTTAACATACGGTCACTGTCAAACGGGGTAGAGAAAGCTAAAAGCGCAGGTGGAAGATGCAAAGCCGTAAGAAGGAAGAGATCGTTAATCTAAGCTCAAGCATTATACTAGCACTCCTTGTAGGGTCCTGATTTTTGGAAGTGCTCCCCTTGACTTCAGCAGAAAATCAGGGTCCTCAGCACCTTCAAAGCCATGCCTAGGGACCAACGGCCATGCTCCTTCGCTTCTTTTCCACTGAGCAGTCCCTCAGTTTCTAGACCTTTCTGCAGGAGCTCCTCTTGCAAGGATGGGTCCACTTGGTGGAGTAGGTGTAGGAGCGCTCCGGGACGCACTTGGTGGCACACACGGGCTCGCACCTCGGGGCGCAGGCGGGCTCGCACCTCGGGGCGCACTGCGTGACGCAGGCGGTGTCACACCTCGGGGCGCACTGCGGGATGCAGGCGGTGTCACATCTTGGGGCGCACTGCGTGACGCAGGCGGTGTCACACCTCGGGGCGCACTGCGGGACACACGTGGTCTCGCATTTGGTCACGCAGGGCTGGACGCACGGCTGGGGACACGGCTGCACACACGGTTGGATGCATGGCTGGACACACGGGTGGACACACGGCCGGGCGGCAGG